ATTTGGAGTAATATACAGAAATTCTCCACAGGTCCTAGGAAGGTAGAACTACTGACAAACAATGATTTTCGAGTAAGGATACAGAACTTCTCCACGGTCTGGAAGAGTGAGAACTACTTTGACAAACAGTGCCTATAAGTTAAGGCAAACCTTTGTTTATGTGCTTGTTTCGTAATGAGACGGTGGTCCCATAACGTCCAAAACAACTGATCCACACACCTGGACATAAATGAATTTACCACATCCATTTTTGAGCTGGCTTACTGACTCGATTGTGATTGTAAAGTTCCGTGTATAAAGAAGGGCGTTGAGATACCTCATGAGAGGTGGTGAAGAATTTACAAGATGCTAAAGTTCCAGAGGAACTATAGATCCCGTTAATGCTGGTGTCTCTTTCCAGCCAGGACACCCCCAGAATGCGCTCCTCTCTCTGGTCCCGGCCTCTGTCTGAGGAGAGCACCCAAGGCTACCGTACCTCTGGCTCCACTTCTCTCCTGAAAAGCAGCATGGAGGCTCTGGGCTTCAAGAGGCCTAGTCACTTACCTGCTCATTTTCTTAGGTAACAGCTTTCCTTCCTACTGACTCAGTCACACCAACCGCATCAGGCTTCATCCATCATGCCCCCTTCCATTCCACCGAGATTGGTAAGCAATCCACCCCATCTCTCCCGCTTTCAAATCTGTTCCCCTCCAAGTCCACACCCCTGATTACTGTATCACCACGCTGCACTGAAGACATAGCAGCAGAAGCTGTTGTCCGGGCCAGGGGACTCCTTCAGTTCAGCCTTGGTACGTTTAGTCATAAAGGGTTGCTCTGCATCGTACTTACAGTGAGACATGACTGTCCGAGAACACCACTCCAGCTGCATGAAAGCTTCAACAATGCCAACGGTCCATCCTGTTTTCCAATAACACGTGAAGACAGAGTGGAAAACAGCTTACAGACAACACCCGTATGGTAAGGCTCTGAATGATGAATGACCTGTTGAGTACTTTCAGGATTGTGGACTAGACGGGGATTAGGAGGTAGATACTTAACCGTGGTCTGAAGGACTAATGTAGATTATATAACCAGACCAGAGTTTCATCTAACGTACTAGTATCTACTTCTAGGTATAGAGACGTCAGGCCTACCAGCGCTTGCGTCATTCGTCCCCGTGCTGGTGTATCTTGAATCGAGCAGCAAGGGGTCCAGGGGACAGCAGGGCTCCGGTTTACGGATCTCATTGAGCCAGCGACTCTGGTGGAGCTCCTTAGGTCAGACTGGACCCTGCAGCAGAGGAACCATCTTCTCCTTTCATTCCCTCTGGTGACTGGAGAGAAGGAGAGGAGAACTTTAGGCATCCGGGAATCAAGAGAACAATGTCACTCATCAGTCCCCCCTGGATTAGGGAAAGTGAACTTGAAAATTGTTCTACAAGTAGTGTAGGCCTGTGGTTGACCTGCTGTTGAACTGTTCTGGGTCTGTCATCTATATGGTGATATGGAGATGCGTGGTGCGTAGATTCTCCATTCCTGTTCCAGACATCAGAGAAAGAGAAAAGCCCTGATCTCAATGCAGAGCCCCCTGAGACCAAGCCGGTGCAACACACAGAAACTAAACATCTGGACTGAAGTCCAGGGAGGAGGAGTGTGGAGGACTGTGAAGTGAGTGACAAGTGAAAGAGAAGGGTCTAAGGCGCGGCACGGTGTGGGGGTAAAGGCTCTTCCACACAGGCATTTAAAGTTTAATCAGGGCACGCTGCACACACCTGGGGTCCTGGCACACACTTTAACACTCCCCACCCACTTTCCCCTTCGCAGTTCCCGTGGGTGGCTCTGCTGCTGCTGCAAATTTCAGCTCCACGTTCTTGACCGAGGCCTCCAGGGTCGGAATAAGAGAGGGAGACTTCACCCCTAATAAACAACAACTGCAAATGAAGTGTGGGGCTGGGCTGCTCGGGTGAGGTTTAAAACACTGCTTCTGGCTCGTTAAACTACGGATTGGGCTTTAATTGTTGTTGACCTCTGACCCTTAAAGATTGTTTCAGGTTTAGCCCTGGACCGCAAGACTCTCTCAAACACAGTACACAGATAAGCCTGGACCCTTTTAAACTCTATCACAGTACACAGAGAGCCTTGACCCCCTTAACAACTCTCTCACGTTACACAGAGGCCTGGACCCTTTAACTCTCTCACAGTACAACAGAGAGCCTGGATCCTTACTCTCTCACATGTACACAGGAGCCTGGAAACCCTTTAACTTCTCTCACAGTACACAGCCCTGATCCTTTAACCTGCCTCACTTACACAGAGAGCCCGGGATCCTGTAACTCTCTCACGTCACACAGAGAGCTGGACCCTTTAACTCTCTCCAGTACACAGAGAGTAATGACGACCCAAAATAACTCCCAGAAGAGCCCGATGGTCACACTGTTGATGACAGCGAGTGCCTGGTGGACTGCCGCACGTTTGCTCGTCCTCCTGGAGATCATGGAAAAGGAGGGTATAGGAGCAGCGTTAACATGGTATTATGTGTGCCAACAGGTGGCTGGTTAGATTCCAAGAATTTATTTGTGTCAGTTTAAACAACACTAAATAAATAAGATAAACCAGAGGTCTGTTCGAATGAAAAAATTATATATAAAGCCTTTATTACAGCAGCTTGCATTCGTGAATTTGGCGGTTTAATTTATTTTTTTTGTCTAATTAAATTCAAAGCTCCCTCTGTTAGTTTAATTATCAAAACTACAACGCTTGTTGAATTTCAAAGCCTGTCTCGTATTCTGTGTGATGGCATGAACACATGAATGATTGATTGTGAGATACAGTAGCCCTATATAGTTTGAAATATAGGCCTAAATAAGTTTACGGTATTAAGCTAAACAGGACGCGCTCATAAGGCCTACAGCCGTGGTGGTTTATGCAAGGCTGCTAACAAAGCCTTCTAATGATAAAGACATTACTATTTAATAAAATGATCATAATAATATAATAGTAATCTAACAATCAGAGGATATCTAGATAAAGGAGGGAGGAAGTGAGAGCGTGTGTGCATTTTGTGTGACAAACAGTGCTGTTAGATTACCATATCATTTTTTCTGCCTGGTTGGAACAGTGTAAACAACACTAATTATTATAAGTCATACCATCTGTTGTCTAACATTTTATTTTTTAAAAGCTTTATTATCAGCATAGCAGAGATTAAAAACAGCTGAATCTGTGGAAAACTGCTTTATCCCAACTTTTGGGTGCGTTTTCGTGAGGCTTGGTGCTCACTGAATCAGTAGGATGATTACACAACACTCAAACGAGGCAACAGAAGCAATATCTGTCTTATTTCTTCTGTATATATATAAGGGATGATTTATAAGCCAGCCTATTTAACCAGTTAGGCTTTGATTCTAGACCTAATTAAATTGGGGTTTCTCTCTCCTCACTTTTTCTTAGCAAATTAAGGCTGTTCCCCCCTCATTTCCCGCTACTTGCTTCCTGTATGCTTGTTAACAATCCTATTTGGCTGGTTAACAAATTTCTATTATTCACATAGCAACATATGGCAAGGCGCCAATTCTAATGAGCACTGAAGATTAATTTTTCGACCCAGACGTGACCGTCTCAAACGCGGGATACAGCGATTTTGTTTATAATGCGAACAATCAAAAACAACAAAAAATGTCCACAAATGTTTTTCATAACATGGTGCAACTGTGTTGACTGTGGAGCATGTGACAGGGGCTTTAGCGTGTTTTTTTGTGTATCTGGGAGGAACATGACTATTTATTACTATTATTATTATATTATCATATTACTACTAATCAGTATTATTAGTTTATTATTACTACTAGCATCATTCTTACTACTATAGTACTATTATTATTAATTAACTATTATTGATCATCATTAGTACTACTATCAGTATTATTACTACTATCAGTCTTTATTATAGTATTACTATTATTATAATCATTATACTACTTCATACTATTATTTTATTATTACTACTTCAGTACTAGTATTATTTATCATCATTATTAACTACTATCAGTATTATTATTATTGTCCATTATTACGACGATCAGTACTATTATTATTATGGCTATTAAGTATTATTATTATCCTATTACTACTATCAGTACTACTATTAGTATTATATTACTATTATTATTATCATTATTACTACTATCATTACTATTATTATTATACTATTATTATCATCATTTTAACTACTATCAGTACTATTATTATTATTGCTGTTTATGATTATTTTCATTATTACTAATACATACTATTATTATTATTACTATTTTATTACTATTAACATTATTACTACTATCAGTACTAAATTTATATTATTTTATTGATATTATTAGACTACTATTATTACTATTATTACAATTATTATTAATATTATTATCTGAAAGATTAACCGATAAAATTAATCGCTGTATCTGAATTAATTGACATGAACATGACTTATTATCGACCACAGTGCAGTCAGAATGCCCTTTACAATACTGGAGCATATGGCTTTAACAGTATAGTTTGAGTCTGTTCAACACTGAGATGGTTAATTCAATGGTAACTAATCAAAGCCCCTACTGAGGCTCAGTAACCCCAGAGTCTGTCCTCTCTAACATCCTGACTCACACCTGTCTTCCCCACCCCAGGCAGGCCAGGCAAGGCAGGCAGACAGGAGGCCTGGAAGAATTCCCTGGTTGTCCATGTTTTCCTAATACGACAGTGTGTTATTTCTTTCTATGGTGAGAGGACCATAACAGTGTTTAATGGTGGAGGGAGTCTCAAACACCACAGAGCAGGGGTCGGATTGGTAATCGATACTGGGTACAACTAACAGGGGTCTGATTGGTAATAGAACTTGGTACACATAACAGGGGTCTGATTTGTAATAGATACGGGGTACAACATAACCAGGGGGGTCTGAATTGGTAATATATTACTGGGTCCACATAACAGGTGTCTGATTGGTAATAGATACTTTGTAACAAACATAACAGAGGTCTATGGTAATGATACTGGGTACAACAGCAGAGGTCTGATTGGTATAGATACTGTTACAACATAACAGGGGTCTGATTGGTAAAGAGATACGGGTACAAACATAACCGGGGTCTGAATTGGTAATAGATACTGGGTACACACATAACAGGGGTCTGATTGGGTAATATATACTGGTTCCAAGACATCACAGAAGAGGTGCTGATTGGTAATAGTACTGGTTACAACATAACGGGGTCGATTGGTATAATACTGGGTGTACAACATAACAGGGATCTGATTGGTAATAGATACTGGGTTACAACATAACAAGAGGTCTGATTGGTATAGATACTGTGGGTACAACATAAACAGAGGTCTGATTGTTAATGATACGGGTACAAGCATACAGAGGTCTGATTGGTAATAGATTACTGGTACAACGATAACAGAGGTCTGATTGGTAATAGACTACTGGTTACACTAACAGGGTCTGATTGGTAATAATACGGGTAACAACACATAAACAGAGGTCTGATGGGTAATAGATACTGGGTACAGACATACCGAGGGGGGGTCTGATGTGGTAATAGATACTGGGTACCACATAACGAGGTCTGATGGTATAGATCTGGGTACAATAACAGAGGTCTGATTGGTAATAATACTGGGTACAACATAACGAAGGTCTATTGGGATAGATACTGGGTACAAATAACATGGGTCTGTTGGATCGATACTGGGTACAACATAACATGGGTCTGATTGGTAAATATATACTGGGTACCCAACCAACCTAACAGAGGTCTGATTGGTAATAGATACTGGGTACAACATAAACAGAGGTCTGATTGTAAATAGATACTGGGTCACATACAGTATCTGATTGGTATATAGATCCTGGTACAACATAACCGTGGTCTGATTGGTAAATAGATACTGGTACAACATAAACCAAGGGATCTGATTTGTAATAGATACTGGTCCAACATAACCATGTCTGATTGGTAAATAGATCGGGTAACAACATAACAGGGGGCTGATTGTAATGATACTGGTACAACATAACATAGGTCGATTGGTAATAGTACTGTTTACACATAACAGGGATCTGATCTGGGTAATAAGATTACTGGGTACAACATAACAGAGGTCTGTTGGTAATAGATACTGGGTACAGAACATAAAGAGGTCTTATTGGTAATAGATACTGGGTACAACATACATGGGGCTGATTGGTATAGATACTGGGTCAACATAACAGTAGGTCTGATTGGTAATAGAATACTGGGTCCAACTAACAGGGTTCGTTGGTAATATAAGACTGGGTACAAACATAACAGAGGTCCTGATTGGTAATAGATCTAGGGTACATACAACATAACAGGGTTCTGATTGGTAATAGATACTGGGTACAAACAAAAGAGGTCTGATTGGTAATAGATACTGGGGTACAACATACAGGGGTCCTGATTGGTACCAACTAATACTGGTGTACAACTAACAGAGGTCGATTGGTAATATATACTGGGTACAACCTAAACAGAGGTCTGATTGGTAATAGAACTCTGGTACAAACATCACCGGGGTCTGATTGGTAAATAGATACTGGGTACACCCTAACAGGGGTTCTGGTGGTAATAGATACTTGGTAAAAACATAACAAGGTTCTATTGGTAATGAGATACTGGGTACAAGAGGAAAAAAAGAACATAACAGAGGTCCTGATTGGTAATAGATACTGGGTCCAAAACATAACAGAGGTCCTGCTTGGTAATAGATACTGGTTACAAACATCACAGGGGTCTGGATTGGGTAATGATTACTGGTACAAACATAACAGAGTCTGAATTGTAATGTCTGGGTATCAACATAACAGGGGTCTGATTGGTAATATATACTGGGTACAAACATAACAGAAGGGTCTGATTGGTAATAATACTGGGGTACAACATAACAGCGGCTGATTGTAATAATACTGGGTACAACATAACCAGGGGTCTGATTGGTATAGATACTGGGTACAACATAACAAGGTCTGATTGGTATAGATACTGGGTACAAACATAAACAGGGGTCTGATTGGTAATATATACTGGGTTCCAAACATAACAGAGGTCTGATTGGTAATAGATACTGGGTAAAACATAAACCGAGGTCTGATTGGTAATAGATATTGGGAGGTTTTGGATATGAAACGCATGATGCCAGACACCCGAGAGGAGAGAGAATTCCGGTCTGAGGAATCATATAAAACTCTGAAAGGCCACCTGTTCCAAAAGGCTTGTATTTTTTCATCTACTAACTGCCACAGTCCCACTTACAGAGACACAAGTTCATTCATTTCCTACCAGCCTAGTGTCCAGAGAGGAAGTTTCTCCTGGCCTGAATCGTCTGACTATAACTGTGGGTGTCTACAAGGAGCATTGTAGCACAGGAAAAGTATTTGTTCACTGACGAATTTCACGGACGAAATGAATGGAAAGTAATTTCAGATGGTACCATGGGATGTAATGATATAGCAGGGATAATATTTGATTTAATGAAGCAGCCTTGGTGGTACGTTTGGGGGGTTTAACACACTTTCGTATCTGGCGGGAACCAGTTCATATTATGGAACAGTCTCTCTCCGGATGCCTTCCAGGATCATAAGTAATTAGGAAATCCAGGCAGGTTTGGAGTCATACAATCAAGATCACCCCGACCTCTATTTTCCTCCTCCTCCTTTCCTCCTCCCTCTCCTCCTCCTCCCTCCTCCTCCTCCGCATTCCTCCTCCATCTCCTCTCTCCGCTCCTCCTCCTCCTCCCTCTCTACACCCCGACCTCCTCCCCCTCCTCTCGCCCCTCCTTCTCCTCCCTCTCTCACTTCTCCTCGCTCCTCGCCTCTCACCTCCTCCCACCCTCCCACTACCTCCTCCTCCTCCTCCTCCCTCTCTCTAACTTCTCCTGTCTCCTCCCTCTCCCTCCTTCTCCTTCCCTTCCTCCTCCTCCCTCTCTCTATCGTACTCCTCCTTCTCCTCCCCTCTCCTACTGCCTCCTGTCTTCGCTTCTCCTCCCTCCCTGCCTCCTCTCTCTCATATCCCCTCGCTCCTCCTTGTCCCTCTCCTCTCCTCCTTTCGTCCTCCTCTCTCTACCGAGGTCCTCTCACTCTTCTCCTACTCCTCCTCCTCTCTCTCTCTCTCTATAACCACCTCCTCCTCCCTCTCCTACTCTCCCTTACCGTCTTTTCCTCTCCTCCTCCTCTACCTCCTCCTCCTCCTCCTCCTCCCTTCTCCTCCCTCTCTCTCTCTCTCTCCTCCTCCTTCTTCTCCTCCCTTCTTCTCTTCTCTCCTCTCTCTCCCTCCCTCATCTCTCTCTTACCCCTTCTCCTCTAGCCTTTCCTTCCTCCATCTGCTGTGATGGATCATGGTTGTGCAGAGAGACATACAACTTCAAACGCTCCTCTTTAGAGAGCAGAGTGGGCCACGGGACCACGGTGTCATCGTGTTGCTGAGCCTGGTTCCAGACTGCTGCAGCCTTCATCTAGACCTGCTCCCCTAGGGAATACAGCGTCTTCTGGCTGCACTGGTTTATTCCTAAACAAATAACTCTAATGGCTGTATGTGAATGAAAGGGAGGGTTAGTTAGATTTATAGGATGGTATTAGGCAGGGGTTATAGTTATATTTGAGATGTGATTAGGCCGGGGGTTTATCATTAGCAAGGATGGGATTTAGGCAGGGGTTTTATATTTATATTTAAGGATGTGATTAGGCATGGGGTTATAGTTATATTTAGAGGATGGGATTAGGCAGGGGTTGATATTATATTTAGAGGATTTGAATTAGGCAGGGGGTTATAGTTTTATGTAAGAGGATGTGATTAGGCAGGGTTAATAGTTTATATTTCGATGAGGTGATTAGGCAGGGGGTTATAGGTTATATTTAGAGGATGGGATTAGGGCAGTGGGGTTATAGTTATATTTTATAGGATGGATTAGGCAGGGGGTTATAGTTATATTTAAGGATGGGATTAGGCAGGGGGTTATAGTTTATATTTAGAGGAATGGGATTAGGCATGGGGTTATATTATATTTAGAGGAATGTTATTAGGCAGGGGTTATTTAGATTTAGAGATGTTGATTAGGCAGGGGTTATGTTATATTAGAGGATGGGAATTAGGCAGGGTGGGTATAGTTATAATTTAGAGGATGTGATTAGGCAATGGGGTATAGTTCATATTAGAAGGAATGGGATTATGCAGGGGGTTATGTTATATTTAGAGGATGGGATTAGCAGGGGGTTATGTTTATTTAGAGGAGGGATTGCATGGGGTTATAGTTTAGATTAGAGGATGGGATTAAGGCAGGGGGTTATAGTTAGATTTAGAGGATGGATTAGGCATGGGGTTTATAGTTAGATTAGAGGATGGATTAGGCAAGGGTTGCTTTGAGCCATTCCTTGCTCCCTGGTACTTCTTCTTTGGGTTATAGGTTCTATGAAAATAGTAGCTTTATGAGGTTTTCCAAAATAACTACCAAATCATGCGAATACTGTTCCTTAATGTATACTCTGATCATTACAACGTCAGAAAATATTGATCAATGACTCTCCCTTCTCCTCATTTATGCTAGACCTACTATATTGACTTAAGTCTGATGACGTCCGTATGACTAGTACGTCTGAGACGTCCGTATACTAGTGCAGTCTGAGACTCCATATGACTATACAGTCTGAGACGTCAGTATTACTAGTACATCGTGACTTCCATATGACTATACAGTCTATACGTCAGTATGACTATACGTCGATGACCCAGTATGGACTAGTAAGTCTGATACGTTCCAGTATAAAGTAGTACGTCTGATGCTCCAGTATCGACGTTCAGTAAGCTATGATCCATATGACTCAGTCATTCGATCGTCCAGTATTGACTAGTACATCTGATGACGTCCAGTATTGACTAGTACAGTCTGATGACGTCCAGTATTGACTAGTACAGTCTGATGACGTCCAGTATTGACTAGTACAGTCTGATGACGTCCAGTATTGACTAGTACAGTCTGATGACGTCCAGTATTGACTAGTACAGTCTGATGACGTCCAGTATTGACTAGTACAGTCTGATGACGTCCAGTATTGACTAGTACAGTCTGATGACGTCCAGTATTGACTAGTAACAGTCTGATGACGTCCAGTATTGACTAGTACAGTCTGATGACGTCCAGTATTGACTAGTACAGTCTGATGACGTCCAGTATTCTATGTTGAATCCAGTATTGACTATACAGTCTGATGACGTCCAGTATTGACTAGTACAGTCTGATGACGTCCAGTATTGACTAGTACAGTCTGGATGACGTCCAGTATTGACTAGTACAGTCTGATGACGTCCAGTATTGACTAGTACAGTCTGATGACGTCCAGTATTGAACTAGTACAGTCTGATGACGTCCAGTATTGACTAGTACAGTCTGATGACGTCCAGTATTGACTAGTACAGTCTGATGACGTCCAGTATTGACTAGTACAGTCTGATGACGTCCAGTATTGACTAGTACAGTCTGATGACGTCCAGTATTGACTAGTACAGTCTGATGACGTCCAGTATTGACTAGTACAGTCTGATGACGTCCAGTATCGACTAGTACAGTCTGATGACGTCCAGTATCGACTAGTACAGTCTGATGACGTCCAGTATTGACTAGTACAGTCTGATGACGTCCAGTATTGACTAGTACAGTCTGATGACGTCCAGTATTGACTAGTACAGTCTGATGACGTCCAGTATTGACTAGTACAGTCTGATGACGTCCAGTATTGACTAGTACAGTCTGATGACGTCCAGTATTGACTAGTACAGTCTGAAGATGTCCATTATTGACTAGTACAGTCTGAAGATGTCCATTATTGACGAGTATAGTCTGCTTGTCTGGTGTATAGTATGAATGAAAGTCATCCATTTTTCTTTTACAACATGTAACAACACAGTGATTGACTGAGTGGCATTTGATAGAGGAGAATTCCTGGATCGGGTTAACCTCACAAATCCCTCTACGTTTTAAACCTCGGCAGAGCCACAGATCTCTTACTACAAGTCAGGTCTGAAGTGAGCTCTGAGCTCCATTTCAGCAGTGACACGTTTAGGAGCCGTGGACCCGGCACGATTCAGTGAGCAGCTTTAGAGTTTACGTCAAGGCCACACGATGAATCTCCGCAGCCTGTATTAAAAGTGATGTACATTCAGGCTCTGAAGACAACAGACTAATACTTGAGGGATATTATTTTTCATGTGGTTTTTCAGATTCTCCTGTATGTGTCCTTAGCCAGGAGAGACGGCCCAGAGTGCACAGGAGACTCCCTCCGTTCCTGCGTCCCAAATGTCTCCTTATTCCCCATATATGGCCCATAAGGCTCTGGTCAAAAGTAGTGCACTATATAGGGAATCATTTAGGACACATCTCCCCCTCTCTCTTTTCTTCCTAAGGTTTTAGAGACTCTCAGTGAAGAAGGATGTGATGCCTTTTTCCAGAGGCATCAATCTGCTGGTGGAATCCTATGGAGCGGGGAGGATTCCCGGGGATAGATCCTCTGGTTAGGAACGCTGTCGGGAACGCCGGGATGACAGTGCTGGAGAAGGGGACGGGACTGGGATACGTGGAGAGGGTGATGACATACTGATATTCATGACCTCACTGGGTGAGGAGACTCAACGCTGCAGATTCAGTAACTCCCTAGGAGGACACTGATATCGCTTAGTCTCTATGGGAACGGTACAGTATGTCTTCTCCCAGGGGTCACTACCTATTAGGACACAAACAATGAACGCTGCCGGCTGGATAACTCACAGATCTCAGTCTCTACGGCAATGTTTTACCCCCAGAGTTGGAGTAAGGATACAGAAAGTTTCCACAGGTCTGGAACAGTGAGAACTACTGGACAAACAAGGAGTTGGAGTAAGGATACAGAACGTCTCCACAGGTCTGGAACAGTGAGAACTACTGGACAAACAAGGAGTTGGAGTAAGGATACAGAACGTCTCCACAGGTCTGGAAGAGTGAGAACTACTGGACAAACAAGGAGTTGGAGTAAGGATACAGAACATCTCCACAGGTCTGGAACAGTGAGAACTACTGGACAAACAAGGAGTTGGAGTAAGGATACAGAACGCCTCCACAGGTCTGGAAGAGTGAGAACTACTGGACAAACAAGGAGTTGGAGTAAGGATACAGAACGTCTCCACAGGTCTGGAAGAGTGAGAACTACTGGACAAACAAGGGCCTATAAGTTAAGGCAAACCTTTGTTATGTGCTTGTTTCTATGATGACTGTCCATAACAGTCCAAAACACTGAGCCACCTGGACATAAAGGAATGTCCACACATCCATTTTTGAGCTGCTTACTGGACTCTATTTTGATTAGTAAAGTCGTGTATAAAGAAGGGCTTTGAGATACCTCATGAGAGGGGGATGAAGAATTTACAAGATTCTAAAGTTCCAGAGGAAACTAGTAGATCCCTTTAATGCTGGTGTCTCTTTTCCAGCCAGGACACCTCCCAGAATGCTCTCTCTCTCTGGCCGGCTCTGTCTGAGGAGAGCACCAAAAGGCTACCGGACACTCTGCTCCACTTCTCTCCTGAAGCAGCATGGGAGCTCTGGGCTTCAAGGCCTAGTCACTTACTCTGCTCAGTTCTTAGTAACAGCTCCTACTGACTCAGTCACACCAACCCACAGGCTTCATCCATCATGCCCCTTCCATTCCACCAGAGATGGTAGCAATCCACCTCCATCTCTCCCTTCAAATCTGTTTCCCCTTCCAAGTCCACCCCTGATTACTGTATCACACGTGCACTGAAGGACAATAGCAGCAGAAAGCTGTGGTCCAGGGCCAGGGGAACTCCTTTCAGTTCAGCCTTGGACGTTAGTCATAAAGAGGTTAGCTCTGCATCGTACTGACAGTGAGACATGACTGTCCAGAGAACACCAGCTGCATGTAAAGCTTCAACAATGTCAACTGTCATCCTGTTTCCAATAACACTTGAAGACAGAGTGGAAAACAGCTTACAGGACAAACACACGGGAGGGTAGGACTCTGAATGATGACATGACCTGTTGAGGACTTCAGTATTGTGGACTAGACGTGGGATAGGAGGTAGATGACTTACCTGGTCTGAAGGACTAAGGTATGATAAGTATACCAGACCAGAGGTTTCATCTACCGTACTAGCTAGCTACTCTAGGTATAGAGACGTCAGGCCTACCAGAGTTGCGGCAGTCGTCCCCGTGCTGGGGTATCTGTATCGAGAAGGCAAGGAGGTCAGGGGACAGCAGGGACTCAGGTTTACGGATCTCATTGAGCCAGCGACTCTGGTGGAGCTCCTTAGTGTCAGATGGACCCTGCAGCAGAGGAACCAGCTTCTCCTTTATTCCCTCTGGTGAACCTGGAGAGAAGGAGAGGAGAACTTTATTCATCCGGGAACAAAGAGACAATGTAACTACATCAGTCTGGATCTAGGGAAAGTGAATTGAAAATTGATTCTACAAGTAGTGTAGTCCTGTGGGTGACCTGCTGTTGAACTGTTCTGGGTCTGTCAGCTATAGTGGTGATATGGAGATCAGTGTGCGGAGAGTCATCCATTCTGTTCCAGACATCAGAGAAAGAGAAAAGCCCTGATCTCAATGACAGAGCCCCCTGAGACCAGCGGTGACACACACAGAAACTAAACATCTGGACTGAAGTCCAGGGAGGAGTGGAGGACTGTGAGTGAGTGAAAGTGAAAGAGAAGGGTCTAGGCGCGGCACGGTGTGGGGGTAAGGCTCTTCCACACAGGCAGTAAAGTTTAACAGGGCACAGCTGCACACACCTGGGGTCCTGGCACACACTTTAACAGCTCCCACGGTTCCCCCGGCGCAGTTCACCGTGGCTCTGCTGCAGAATTTCAGCTCCACGTTCTGGACCGAGGCCTCCAGGGTCGGAGAAGGAGAGGGAGACTTCACACCTAATAAAAACAACAACTGAAAATGAAGTGGGGGGCGGGGCTGCTCTGGTGAAGGTTTAAACACTGCTGCTGCTTCGTTAAACTACGGATTGGCCTTTAATTGTTGTTGACCTCTGGACCCTTAAAGAGTGTTTCAGGTTAGCCCTGGACCTGCAACTCTCTCACAGTACACAGAGAGCCTGGACCCTTTAACTCTCTCACAGTACACAGAGAGCCTGGACCCTTTAACTCTCTCACAGTACACAGAGAGCCTGGACCCTTTAACTCTCTCACAGTACACAGAGAGCCTGGACCCTTTAACTCTCTCACATTACACAGAGAGCCTGGAACCCTTTAACTCTCTCACAGTACACAGCCCTGGATCCTGTTAACTCTCTCACTGTACACAGAGAGCCTGGACCCTTTACACAGAGAGCCTGGATCCTGTAACTCTCTCACAGTACACAGAGAGCCTGGACCCTTTAACTCTCTCACAGTACACAGAGAGTAATGAAGACACAAAATAACTCCAGAAAGAGCCCGATGGTCACACTGTTGATGACAGCGAGTGCCTGTGTGACTGCCGCACGTTGTCTCGCTCTCCTGGAGATCATGGAAAAGGAGGGTATAGGAGCAAGCGTTAACTGAGTATTATGTGTGCCAAACAGGTGCTGTTAGATTACAAGAATATTATTTGTGTACAGTGTAAACAACACTAAATAAATAAGATAAACCAGAGAGTCTGTTCGAATGAAAAAAATTATATATAAAGCCTTTATTACAGCAGCTTGCATTCGTGAATTGCGGTTTATTTATTTTTTTTGTCTAATTATTCAAAGCTCCCTCTGTTATTTAATTTCAAAACTAAAACGCTTGATTGAATTTCAAAGCATGTCTCGTATGCTGTGTGATGGCATGAACAAATGAATGATTGATTGATAGATACAGTAGCCTATATATTGAAATATAAGCCTAAATAAGTTACGGTATTAAGACTAAACAGGACGCGCTCTCAGGCCTACAGCTCCATGGTGGTTATGCAAGGCTGCTATACAAAGCCTTCTAATGATAACGACATTACTATTTAATAAAATGATCATAATAATAATAATAGTAATCATAACAATAAGAAGGAGATCTAGATAAAGGAGGGTATAGGAGTGAGAGCTGTGTGCATATTATGTGTGACAAACAGGTGCTGTTAGATTACCAATATCATTTTTCTGCCTGTTTGGAACAGTGTAAACAACACTAAATATATTATAAGTCATACCAATCTGTTCTAACATGTTATTTTTTAAAAGCTTTTATTACAGCATAGCAGAGATTAAAAACAGCTGAATCTGTGAAAACTGCTTTATCCAACATTTTGCCGTTGCGTGAGGCTTGGTGCTCACTGAATCAGTAGGATATTAAACAAACACTCAAACAGGCAACAGAAGCAAGATCTGTCTTATTTCTGTATATATATATGGATGATTTATAAAGCCAGGCCTATTTAACAGTTAGGCTATTGATTCTAGACCTAATTAAATTGGGGTTTCCTCTCTCCTCACTTTTCTTAGACAATTAAGGCTGTTTCCTCATTTCCGCTACTGCTTCCTGTATGCTGGTTAACAATCCCTATTTGCTGGTTAACATTTCTATTATGCACATAGCAACATAGGGAAAGGCGCCAATTCTAATGAGCACTGAAGATTATGTTTCAGAACCACAGACAGTGACCGTATCCAACGCGGGAGAAAGCGCATTTGTTATAATGCCGAACACAAAAACAAACAAAAATGTCACAAAATGTTTTCATAACATGGTGGAAACTGTTTTGACTGGGGAGCATGTGACAGGCTTTAGCGTGTTTTTTTGTGTATCTGGGAAAAGGACATGACTATTATTACTATTATTATTATCATTATCATTATTACTACTATCAGTATTATTAGTATTATTATTACTACTAGCATCATTATTACTACTATCAGTACTATTATTATTATTACTATTATTATCATCATTATTACTACTATCAGTATTATTACTACTATCAGTACTATTATTAGTAGTATTACTATTATTATAATCATTATTCCTACTATCAGTACTATTATTATTATTATTACTACTATCAGTACTATTATTATTATCATCATTATTACTACTATCAGTATTATTATTATTGTCATTATTACTACGATCAGTACTATTATTATTATTGCTATTAGTATTATTATTATCACTATTACTACTATCAGTACTACTATTAGTATTACTATTATTATTATCATTATTACTACTATCAGTACTATTATTATTATTACTATTATTATCATCATTATTACTACTATCAGTACTATTATTATTATTGCTGTTATTATTATTTTAATTATTACTAATATCAGTACTATTATTATTATTACTATTATTATTACTATTATCATTATTACTACTATCAGTACTAATTATTATTATTATTATTGATATTATTACTACTATTATTACTATTATTACAATTATTATTAATATTATTATCTGAAGATTACAGATAAAATTAATCGCTGTATCTGAATTAATTGACATGAAATGACTAATTATCGACCACAGTAAGCAGTCAGATGCCTGTACAATACTGTAGCATATGGCTTTATACAGTATAGTTGAGTCTGTTCAACACTGAGATGTTAATTCATGGTAACTAATCAAAGCCCATACTGAGCTCAGTAAACCCCAGAGTCTGTCCTCTCTAACTCCTGACTCACACCTGTCTTCCCCAACCCCAGGCAGGCAGGCAGGCAGGCAGACAGGAGGCCTGGAAGAAGTCCCTGGTTGCCATGTTTCCTAAGACGACAGTGTGTTATTTCTATGGTGAGAGGACATAACAGGGTTTATGGTGAGAGGAGGTCTCAAACACAGAACAGGGGTCTGATTGGTAATAGATACTGGGTACAACATAACAGGGGTCTGATTGGTAATAGATACTGGGTACAACATAACAGGGGTCTGATTGGTAATAGATACTGGGTACAACATAACAGGGGTCTGATTGGTAATATATACTGGGTACAACATAACAGGTGTCTGATTGGTAATAGATACTGGGTTACAACATAACAGAGGTCTGATTGGTAATAGATACTGGGTACAACATACAAGGTCTGATTGGTAATAGATACTGGGTACAACATAACAGGGGTCTGATTGGTAATAGATACTGGGTACAAAATAACAGGGGTCTGATTGGTAATAGATACTGGGTACAACATAACAGGGGTCGATTGGTAATATATACTGGGTACAACATAACAGAGGTCTGATTGGTAATAATACTGGGTACAACATAACAGGGGTTCTGATTGGTAATAGATACTGGGTACAACATAACAGGGATCTGATTGGTAATAGATAACTGGGTTACAAACATAACAGAGGTCTGATTGGTAATAGATACTGGGTACAACATAACAGAGGTCTGATTGGTAATAGATACTGGGTACAACATAACCAGAGGTCTGATTGGGTAATAGATACTGGGTACAACATAACAGAGGTCTGATTGGTAATAGATACTGGGTACAACATAACAGGGTCTGATTGGTAATAGATACTGGGTACAACATAACAGAGGTCTGATTGGTAATAGATACTGGGTACAACATAACAGGGTCTGATTGGTAATAGATACTGGGTACAACATAACAGAGGTCTGATTGGTAATAGATACTGGGTACAACATAACAGAGGTCTGATTGGTAATAGATACTGGGTACAACATAACAGGGTCTGATTGGTAATAGATACTGGGTACACATAACAGAGGTCTGATTGGTAATAGATACTGGGTACAACATAACAGGGGTCTGATTGGTAATAGATACTGGGTACAACATAACAGGGGTCTGATTGGTAATAGATACTGGGTACAACATAACAGGGGTCTGATTGGTAATAGATACTGGGTACAACATAACAGGGGTCTGATTGGTAATAGATACTGGGTACAACATAACAGGGTCTGATTGGTAATAGATACTGGGTACAACATAACAGGGATCTGATTGGTAATAGATACTGGGTACAACATAACAGGGGTCTGATTGGTAATAGATACTGGGTACAACATAACAAGGTCTGATTGGTAATAGATACTGGTACAACATAACAGGGTCTGATTGGTAATAGATACTGGGTACAACATAACAGGGGCTGATTGGTAATAGATACTGGGTACAACATAACAGGGTCTGATTGGTAATAGATACTGGGTACAACATAACAGGGTCTGATTGGTATAGATACTGGGTACAACATAACAGAGGTCTGATTGGTAATAGATACTGGGTACAACATAACAGAGGTCTGATTGGTAATAGATACTGGGTACAACATAACAGGGGTCTGATTGGTAATAGATACTGGGTACAACATAACAGAGGTCTGATTGGTAATAGATACTGGGTACAACATAACAGGGTCTGATTGGTAATAGATACTGGGTACAACATAACAGGGTCTGATTGGTAATAGATACTGGGTACAACATAACAGGGTCTGATTGGTAATAGATACTGGGTACAACATAACAGGGTCTGATTGGTAATAGATACTGGTACAACATAACAGGGGTCTGATTGGTAATAGATACTGGGTACAACATAACAGAGGTCTGATTGGTAATAGATACTGGGTACAACATAACAGGGGTCTGATTGGTAATAGATACTGGGTACAACATAACAGGGGTCTGATTGGTAATAGATACTGGGTACAACATAACAGGGGTCTGATTGGTAATAGATACTGGTACAACATAACAGAGGTCTGATTGGTAATAGATACTGGGTACAACATAACAGGGTCTGATTGGTAATAGATACTGGGTATCAACATAACAGGTCTGATTGGTAATAGAACTGGGTACAACATAACGGGGTCTGATTGGTAATAGATACTGGGTAAACATAACAGGTCTGATTGTAATAATACTGGTACAACATAACAGGGTCTATTGGTAATATACACTGGGTACAACATAACAGAGGTCTGATTGGTAATAGATATTGGGAGGTTTTGGAATATGAAACGCCAGGGATGCCAGACACCCGAGAGGAGAGAGAATTCCTGTCTGAGGAATCATATAAAACTCTGACACCACCTGTTCCAATAAGGATGTATTTTTCATCTACTAACTTCCACAGTCCACTTCACAGAGACACAAGGTTTCATTTCCTACCAGCTAGTGTCCAGAGAAGAGAAGTTCTGGCCTGAATCTGACTCTAAACTGCTGGGTGTCTGAAGGAGCAGTTGGTAGCACAGGAAAAAGTAGTTGTTTCACTGACGAATTTCACTGACGAATGAATGGAAAGTATTTCAGAGGGATACAATGGGATGTATGATATAGCAGGGATAATATTGAGTTAATGAAGCAGCTTGGTGGTAGGGTTGGGGGGTTTAAACACAGCTTTCTGATCTGGAAGGGAACCAGTTCATTATTATGGAACAGTCTCTAGTCTGGATGCCTTCCAGGATCATAGTATTTATAAATCCAGGCAGGTTGGAGTCAGACATCAGATCACCCCTACCTCTATTTCTCCTCCTTTCCTCCTCCCCCGCCTCCTCCTCTCCTCCTCCTCCTCCTCATTCTCCTCCCTCCTCCTCCTCCTCCTCCTCCCTCTCCTCCTCCTCCTCCTCCTCCCTCTCCTTCTCCTCCCTCTCCTCCCTCTCCTCCTCCTCTCCTACTTCTCCTCCTCCTCCCTCTCCTACTTCTCCTTCTCCTACTTCTCCTTCTCCTACTTCTCCTTCTCCTTCTCCTCCCTCTATCTATCTACCTCCTCCTTCTCCTCCCACTCCTACTCCTACTTCTCCTTCTCCTCCCTCCCCTCGCCTCTCTTCCGTCTCTCATCCCCCTCCTCCTCCTCCCAGTCTCCTACATCCTCCTGGTCTCCTCCCGCTCTCTAACCATACCTTCCTTCTTCCTACTCCGGCTCCTCCCTCTCTCGTCCCTCCTCTACCCATTCCTCCTCCCTCTCCTACCTCCCTCCCTACCCTAACCTCTTCCTCCTCCTCCTACCCTCTAACCCCATCCTCCTCCCCTCCTCCCTCCTCCTCCCTTCTCCTGCCATTCTACTCCTCTCTCATCCTCTCATCTACCTCCTCCTTCCTTCTCCTCCCTCTTCTCCTCTCTCCTCCTCTCCCTCCCTCAATCTCTCTCTACCCACTCATTCCTGCCCGCCTACCTTTCCTTCCTTCCTCCATCTGCTGTGATGGATCATGGTGGTGCAGAGAGACATACAACTTCAAACGCTCCTCTTTAGAGAGCAGAGTGGGCCACTGGACCACTGGTGTCATCGTGGTGCTGAGCCCTGGTTACCAGACTGCTGCAGCCTTTCATCTAGAGACCTGCTCCCTTAGAGGGGAATACAGCGTCTCTGGCTGCACTGGTTTATCCTAACAAATAACCTAATGGCTGTAGGTGAATGAAAGGGAGGGTTATAGTTAGATTTAGAGGATGGGATTAGGCAGGGGTTATAGTTATATTTAGAGGATGTGATTAGGCAGGGGGTTATAATTAGAGGATGGGATTAGGCAGGGGTTATAGTTTTTATTTAGAGGATGTGATTAGGCAGGGGTTATAGTTATATTTAGAGGATGGGATTAGGCAGGGGTTATAGTTATATTTAGAGGATGTGATTAGGCAGGGGGTTATAGTTATATTTAGAGGATGGGATTAGGCAGGGGTTATAGTTATATTTAGAGGATGTGATTAGGCAGGGGGTTATAGTTATATTTAGAGGATGGGATTAGGCAGGGGGTTATAGTTATATTTAGAGGATGGGATTAGGCAGGGGGTTATAGTTTATTTAGAGGATGGGATTAGGCAGGGGGTTATAGTTTTTTAGAGGATGGGATTAGGCAGGGGTTATAGTTATATTTAGAGGATGTGATTAGGCAGGGGGTTATAGTTAGATTTAGAGGATGTGATTAGGCAGGGGGTTATGTTATATTTAGAGGATGGGATTAGGCAGGGGGTTATAGTTATATTTAGAGGATGTGATTAGGCAGGGGGTTATAGTTTATTTAAGGATGGATTAGCAGGGGTTATAGTTAATTTAGAGGTGGATTAGCAGGGGGTTATAGTTAGATTTAGAGGATGGGATTAGGCAGGGGTTATATTTAGATTTAGAGGATGGGATTAGGCAGGGGGTTATAGTTATATTTAGAGGATGGGATTAGGCAGGGGGTTATAGTTAGATTTAGAGGATGTGATTAGGCAGGGGGTTATAGTTATATTTAGAGGATGGGATTAGGCAGGGGGTTATAGTTATATTTAGAGGATGGATTAGGCAGGGGGTTATAGTTAATTTAGAGGATGGGATTAGGCAGGGTTAAGTTAATTTAGAGGATGGGATTAGGCAGGGGGTTATAGTTAGATTTAGAGGATGGGATTAGGCAGGGGTTATAGTTAGATTTAGAGGATGGGATTAGGCAGGGGTTATAGTTAGATTTAGAGGATGGGATTAGGCAGGGGTTATAGTTAGATTTAGAGGATGGGATTAGGCAGGGGGTTATAGTTAGATTTAGAGGATGGGATTAGGCAGGGGGTTATAGTTAGATTTAGAGGATGGGATTAGGCAGGGGGTTATAGTTAGATTTAGAGGATGGGATTAGGCAGGGGGTTATAGTTAGATTTAGAGGATGGGATTAGGCAGGGGGTTATAGTTAGATTTAGAGGTTGACTACTCCCTCCCTCCCTCTCTCTCTCTCTGGAAACAATATCTAGTTATTGATCATAGAATCCATGGTGATATTGAGTGTGTGATCACAGCCTGAAAACACCTTAAATCCTCCAAGAGGCTGTGGCTCCCCCTCTGAACTAACCATCTACTGGAAACACACTATCCCACAGAAAATGGTGCGCACACACACACGCACGCACACACGCACGCACGCACACACACACACACACACACACGCACACACGCACAAAAAGCCTCCAGACTCTTTCTCAAACTCTCAAGCATAAAAGGTTGTCCAGAACTGTGATAAATGGCCCTAGCAGCAGTATGGCTGTGAGCTGTGATAAATGCCTCTGAGTGAGTGAGTGAGTGAGTGAGTGAGTGAGTGAGTGAGTGAGTGAGTGAGTGAGTGAGTGAGTGAGTGAGTGAGTGAGTGAGTGAGTGAGTGAGTGAGTGAGTGAGTGAGTGAGTGAGTGCAACGTTTAGGACAGCTGTTCAGCTCCTACACACATGGATGATGCAGAGAGAGATGGAGGAGCTGCTCATTCAGAGAGGGGGATAGGCTGGGATTGATGGTGGTTGGTGTGTGTGTGTGTGCGTACACGTGTGTGTGTTGTTGTTATATTTGTGGGGCAGGCTGGCAGGTGTGTGTTGTTGTTATATGTGTGGGACAGGCTGGCAGGTGTGTGTTGTTGTTATATGTGTGGGGCAGGCTGGTAGGTGTGTGTTGTTGTTATATGTGTGGGGCAGGCTGGCAGGTGTGTGTTGTTGTTATATGTGTGGGGCAGGCTGGCAGGTGTGTGTTGTTGTTATATGTGTGGGGCAGGCTGGCAGGTGTGTGTGTTGTTATATGTGTGGGGCAGGCTGGCAGGTGTGTGTTGTTGTTATATGTGTGGGGCAGGCTGGCAGGTGTGTGTTGTTGTTATATGTGTGGGGCAGGCTGGCAGGTGTGTGTTGTTGTTATACAGTGAGGGAAAAAAGTATTTGATCCCCTGCTGATTTTGTACGTTTGCCCACTGACAAAAAAATTATCAGTCTATAGTTTTAATGGTAGGTTTATTTGAACAGTGAGAGACAGAATAACAACAAAAAAATTCAGAAAAACGCATGTCAAAAATGTTATAAATTGATTTGCATTTTAATGAGGGAAATAAGTATTTGACCCCCTCTCAATCAGAAAGATTTCTGGCTCCCATGTGTCTTTTATACAGGTAACGAGCTGAAAGGGAGTGCTCCTAATCTCAGTTTGCTACCTGTATAAAAGACACCTGTCCACAGAAGCAATCAATCAATCAGATTCCAAACTCTCCACCATGGCCAAGACCAAAGAGCTCTCCAAGGATGTCAGGGACAAGACTGTAGACCTACACAAGGCTGGAATGGGCTACAAGACCATCGCCAAGCAGCTTGGTGAGAAGGTGACAACAGTTGGTGCGATTATTCGCAAATGGAAGAAACACAAAAGAACTGTCAATCTCCCTCGGCCTGGGGCTCCATGCAAGATCTCACCTCGTGGAGTTGCAATGATCATGAGAACGGTGAGGAATCAGCCCAGAACTACACAGGAGGATCTTGTCGATGATCTCAAGGCAGCTGGGACCATTGTCACCAAGAAAACAATTGGTAACACACTACGCCGTGAAGGACTGAAATCCTGCAGCACCCGCAAGGTCCCCCTGCTCAAGAAAGCACATATATATGCCCGTCTGAAGTTTGCCAATGAACATCTGAATGATTTAGAGGAGAACTGGGTGAAAGTGTTGTGGTCAGATGAGACCAAAATTGAGCTCTTTGGCATCAACTCAACTCGCCGTGTTTAGAGGAGGAGGAATGCTGCCTATGACCCCAAGAACACCATCCCCACCGTCAAACATGGAGGTGGAAACATTATGCTTTGGGGGTGTTTTTCTGCTAAGGGGACAGGACAACTTTACCGCATCAAAGGGACGATGGACGGGGCCATGTACCGTCAAATCTTGGGTGAGAACCTCCTTCCCTCAGCCAGGGCATTGAAAATGGGTCGTGGAAGGATATTCCAGCATGACAATGACCCAAAACACACGGCCAAGGCAACAAAGGAGTTGCTCAAGAAGAAGCACATTAAGGTCCTGGAGTGGCCTAGCCAGTTTCCAGACCTTAATCCCATAGTAAATTTGTGGAGGGAGCTGAAGGTTCGAGTTGCCAAACGTCAGCCTCGAAACCTTAATGACTTGGAGAAGATCTGCAA